CTTCGAACCCCTTTGAGGGTGACACGTGTCACCACCTAATAGAGCCACGTGGACCTGGGTATTTTTACCCTAAATATTTTCCCCTCACAGGTGCGATGTGGCCTCACATTTGCCCCTCACAGGTGTGACGTGGCAGGCCACGTGGCACTTGTGATAGGTGTCACAATCAGAGAAGACGACGGTTCGTCTCTTTTTTTTTCCTTTTTTTTTTTGGGAGGCGATGGTTTGCCTTCTAGGGGGAATTTGTCTTTAAGTAAGACCTCCCCCCCTTTCCTTTTGCTCATTTACATCATTGATAAAATTTCGGAGAGAGAGAAAGGAGAGCTCTAAGACCGGCTGCTATTATTTACATAACCATCTGCTTCTTCTTGACTCAACCGGTTACCGCTTGGGTACTCATCACTCAAGGCTCATCAGATCCGTTAGAGCATATTTCAACTAATTCCACTGCATTCAACCCACCTGCAACCGGTCAACCGTCTGGGGTATCTTCAAGCAAGGCTTCAGGGAAACGTTTGGGTATCTCAACAACATCCCTTGCTTTCCAAGTGGGTACATCAGAGCATTCGTCTGGGTATCTAGCAAGTAACTGATAGATTTTCGCCTACTGATTCAGCTGGTCAACCTTCTCCACTTTAAAAGCATCTTCAAGGTACCGTCTCTACCCTTTGCAACTCTTTTGAGCATTTCCGGTTGTATACTTTGTAAAGAATAATGAACTTACCCAACACACATACGGCACGACCTAGGACAGTTGTCAGCCGGTCTTCTGATACGGCTGAGTCTAGGATTAGGGATGTCGTGGGGGTGTTTGGACCACCCTTTCTCTTCCACGAACCCAACCATCTCTATACATGTGCAGGACAGGATGGCTCGAACGAAGCGGACAGCTGTTGACCCCGACTACAAATCAGACGGCTCAGCTTAAGCGTCGGCTGACATAGAATATTATGAACCTCCGGTGCACACAGCACACCTAGGGAAAACATTTTGGAAGAGTCTAAGGATGCAGACGGCGATGAGACGTCCAACAATAAGACTCAGAGGAGTCAACTTCATTACAACCAAATGCCTTCCAGGAGGATGAGAAGGCGTACAAAGGGCCATCCATCACCAATCCTACTGAGGCGCACATGTCCGCCAGGGACATCGTTACTCTGAATGCCACCTTCCCCGTCTTTATAAGGAAATTCCCGGTTGGGAATAGGTGGGAGGTGATGAGTGACATTTATGTCGCTCTTAGGGTAGTCTTTTCTAGTAGTTTTAAAAATTTGGTCCTTTTTAGTATGTTTTTGCTATGATCCGCCTAGTTTGAGTATTCTACCTTTGTGATGCGTAATTTGTATTCATGTGGTTTAGGTAGTCTATACTCCCCTCCCCTTTCGTTGTATTATGCTTGCACTTCCTGTTCCATGATTGTACGTGTATGCCGTTGATTCGGAGATGGAAGGAACAAGGACAAAACGGGAGAATTCTAGACCAGACAAATAGCGCGGGCGCGCCAACAGAGGAGCGAGCGCGCCACCTATATGCGCGGGCGCGTTGATGAGCTGGAACAACCATTAAATACCCACTATGGAGCGGCCACACATTTTGAGGAGCGGCCGCGCCATCATTTAACGCGCGGGCGCGCCTGTCTACTGCGGATTCAAATCCCGAATTCAGTCCAATCAACAAAAGGGAGGAAAAACGGCTAACATTGGACAACATTCTATCATTAGGATACTTTTAGCATAGAAACCTTGGAGGAGAGCTTTTGAGGAATTTTTCTAGGTTATTGTTTTAACCACTTTTGTATTGAAGAATCTTAATAGTTTTTAGTGTAATTTCATTGCCCATCAACATTAGTTTTACTCTTAGTTTTTGAAGAAGTATTTTGGAACATTGATGTATGGTCAAGCTTGGAGCTTGGATGATGTATGGTTCTTTACTTGGATTTCAATGAAGGTTTTGGTATATTTCTCTATTTTCTCTTGTTTTTATGATTAAAGTTTCCACCTTTGTTAGTTTAGTTGATAAAAACCTTGTCTTTCTTACTATTTCTTTGGTTATAATGTTGCTTAGTATGATTGTAGTTGTAGTTATGGATAGTGAGTAGTTTGTTGTTGCTAGGGGTTTAGTGAAGGTATGCTTTGAGTTTAATGTATGTTAGGCTAGGTTAATTTGGAATATTTGTGATTAAATCTTCCTTGTGCTTATACTTATTGGCCACTCCATGGTTATGGCCATATGCATGTTGTGGTTGAATGACTTGAACTAAATCGTGACGATAGTGTGATTTAGGAATAGTCATTAGGTGATTGATTATTGCATGACCTTAGCTTGTATGCCTTACGACGATAGTGTAAGTGTATGCTAGCTAGGAAAGCTCTTAATCCCGATAGGTGATTAGAGGGTATTCTTGATATTGCCTTGTACGAGTCGCTTGGTTTGCATGTAAACTTTTCCCGGTGCCTAACTTCATTGAACTCATAGCATGTTTGATCCTTCCCCCTAGCGCTTGTTTTAATTGTTATTCTATCCCCTTTAGTCATTACTTTACCCACCATATTTCTTGACCGAATTAGATTGACATTAGGAGATAAATAGCGGTGCCTAATCGTTTCCCTGTGTCCGACCCTTAACTTGCCTCTATACTCGTTTAGTTGCATGTTTAGGACTACAAATATCATTTGATAGAGGTGTCTTCGTAACAACCTAAAATACCGCCTGTCAAATTGGCGTCGTTACCGAGGAAACGGTTTCCATTGTGTGTTTATTTTCTTGTTGAGACTACTTCTTCTCCGTTCTTTTGTTTTTCCGTATCTTGTAGTGCTCACTTTCTGCTTAGCTTTGTATATGCACAGGAGGCTTAACTGCTCTAAGCCTTTGGTGTCCATAGACCTCGAGCTAGAGCATACTCTGGCCCAATTGAGGAGACAAGCAAGGGAGAGAGGTGAAGACCCACTTTAAGAGGAAGTGAGAAGTTCCCCTACCCCATCTTCACCCACTTCAAGTGAGGAGGGTGAACCATCCACAGGCTCAATTCCCAACCCATTTGCCAATAACCATAATCAACAAAGCATGGTTGATCAAGGAAACATGGGTGATCAAAGGTCACTAAAGAAACTTGGAGCACCCGAACCATATGCCTCTCGAAGTGGGATCTTAGCCCCCACCACTCAAGCAAGAAATTTCGAGATAAATCCTAATTTCATTTCAATGTTAGAGAAGAGGGAATTTACCGGTGGGAAATTTGAGAATCCCCATGAGCATCTCAAAGAGTTTCTCAAGTATTGTGATACTATCAAGATCAACGGAGTCTCCCAAGAGTACATAAGATTGAAGATGTTCCCGTTCTCACTCATAGGAGCGGCGGAACATTGGTTGAACAAGGATGTTCCCCCCGATTCCCTCACAACTTGGAATGAGGTAACTACCGCGTTCCTAGGAAGGTTTTACAATCACAAGAAAACGCCGAGGCTCGCTCAAAGATTCAAAGTTTCCGCCAAAGAGGTGGAGAGTCTCTTTGTGAGGCATGGGAGAGATTCAAAGAGTTACATAGGAAATGCCCACACCATGGGATTCCTAATTGGCAAGTTCTCCAAACATTCTATGGAGGACTCTCCCCTCAAAGCAAGACTAGCCTTGATGCCGGAGCCGGAGGCCCAATCATGAACGAAAGGGAAGATGAAGTGGAGAGTATCATAGAAGATGTTGTGCGCAATTATGAGGATTGGTACGAAGGTGAGAGGGAAGCCACTTCTAGCAAAGGAACGGTACAATCTGTCGAGCAAACCAATGTCATCTCAAATCTTTCCAACCAAATGGAAAAGATGGCGAAATAAATGGAGGAGTTCATGAAATCAAGTTCTCAAAATACTTCCTCCCCTTCTCCCAAGGGAGGCCATGGTATGAATCCTTCTACTTCTTCTCCCTTACAATGCTATGCCTCCCGGTTGTATGTTTTGTGATATCTGTGGAAACTATGATCATAATTCTCAACAATGCATGTCCATTAATGAATATCAAAACCCTTCCCAAGAAAATGATGATAATGTTGAACATGTGAATGCTATGAATTTTGCTCCCCAAATGGGAAATTCGGGAATGAGGCCCAACATGAACCGTGGTTGGAATCAAAATTGGAACCAAGGAGGTGGTGGTTTTGATAACCAAAACCATGTTAGGGGAGGCCCTTCCAACTTAAATGGAAGAGGATACCCTAACCAAAGAGGTTTTGGAAGCTAAAACCAACACCACCACCCCAATCACTATGACAATCAAAACCAAGGTTTTAGTGGCCAAAGTAACATGGGGTACAGTCAACAAAAATACAACTCCAACCATGGCGCCTGGGGATATAGACCTCAAAATGCTTCTACTTTCTCACAAAATAGTAGACCCCCCGGTTTTGAGCAAGTAAGGCCCCTTTCTCAAATTCCCCATACTCAACCCCTCCAAATAGAAGCCCCTCCGAATTCTATGATGACTATGCTTCAAAATTTCATTAAAAATCAATAAAACCATAATAAGAGTCAAGAGGAAGAAAAAAAACAAATCAAGGCACACATGAAAATGCTTGAGACCCAAATCTCTCAAATTGCCCAACCAAGTTCTTCATCCTCCCCTTCTTCCTCTTCTTCTTTACCTAGCAAAGGTGTCAACCCCAAACCTATGTATGCCATTACTACTAGAAGTGGGAAGATCCTTGAGAGTGATTTAAATGTTGAGAAGAGTTCCGATGTAGGGATAGGACTTGAGGTTGAGGATAAGTCATCAAGAGAGAGTGAGATCCTAGAAGGAAGTGCCAAAGAGAATGAGAGGGGTGAGAAAGAGAAAGAGAAAGAACCAAGAAAAGAGAGCACCAAAGATAAAACAAATTTACCCCTTAATCTCCAACCTAGGAATGTGAGGTTGCCTTTTCCCCAAATATTTGCTAGGTCTGGGCTTGATGTCCAATTCGGAAAATTTTTGTATGTAGTAAAGAGCCTGCATGTTTCTATACCCTTTGTGGAGCTATGAAAGAGATGCCTCACTACTCTAAATTCCTAAAAGACCTTTTGAATGGAAGGAGAGAAGTTGAAACCGTTAGCCTAACCGCAAATTGTAGTGCTATTCTCTCTAGTAAGCTACCAACCAAATTGCAAGATCCCGGTAGTTTTTCCATCCCTTGTTCTATCAATGAGGTTCATTTGGGGAAGGCTTTATGTGATCTAGGTGCTAGTGTGATTTTAATGCCCTTCTCAGTCTACCGAAACCTTAATGTGGGAAGTCTTTCACCTACAAACATCACCCTCCAACTAGCTGATAGGTCCACAAAATTGCCTATAGAGAAAGTAGAGGACATGCCCCTTAGAGTTGGTAAGTTAACTTTTCCGGTGGACTTTTATGTTCTCGATATGGATGAAGATGAAAGAATTCCTATAATTTTGGGAAGGTCATTCCTAGCTACTTCTAAAGCAATCATTGATGTCAAAGAAGGTAAGATGACCTTGAAGGTTGACAATGATTCTATCGAATTTGATTTGAATAAGGTAATGAGACAACCTTCCTCTAGTAATGAATGCTTTAGAATAGATACAATTGAAAATTTGATGAATGAGTTTAGATACCCTCATATGCATGCTTCTAATGATCTACTTGAGAATGTTTTTTTGAATGAGAATGAAGTAGGTGATCAAAAGGAGATGCAATTATATGAGTAAGTGCTTGATGAGAAAGAGGAGACAACCACCGACCAATATATGCTCCAAACATATAAAGTCTTCCAAGTAGAAGAGAAGGAGATCTTCAATGGTAAGGGAGCTCCGAAGGTAGAATTGAAACCTCTACCTTCGGGCTTAAGGTATGTCTTTTTGGATGCTAATGAGATTTCCCCGGTCATTGTCAATGCTAACTTCACGGAAGAGCAAACCTCCTCATTTCTTAATGTTTTGAAAAAGCATAGGAAGGCTTTGGGTTATACTCTTGATGATCTCAAGGGTATAAGCCCCTCCCTATGCATGCATAAAATTGATTTAGAGGAGGGTGCTAAGCCGTGTAGGAAACGACAAAGGAAACTTAATCCTTCCATGCAAGAGGTTGTGAGGAAGGAAGTTTCCAAGCTACTTGAAGCGGGGATCATCTATCCAATCGCTCATAGTGATTGGGTGTCCTCGGTTCAAGTAGTGCCGAAAAAGGGAGGTATGACGGTAATGGTCAATGATAAGCAATAATTGGTCCCAACTCGGCTTGTTACGGGTTGCCGTATGTGTATTGATTACCTCCAATTGAATGCCAATACTTCCAAAGACCATTTTCCATTACCGTTTATCGACCAAATTCTTGAGAGGCTTACAAAGCATGATTTTTATTGCTTTCTTGATGGTTATTCGGGATTCTTCCAAATCCCAATTGACCCAAAAGATCAAGAAAAGACCACTTTCACTTGTCCTTACGATACTTTTGCTTATCGTACGATGCCTTTTGGTCTTTGTAATGCCCCGGCTACCTTCCAAAGATGCATGATGTCAATTTTTAGTGACATGATCGAGGAAGAAATGGAAGTTTTTATGGATGACTTTTTCTTTGGTGGAGGCACATATGAGAAGTGCCTAAAGAATTTATCTCGTTATTTAGAAAGGTGTGAGAGTGCCAACTTGGTTCTCAATTGGGAGAAATGCCACTTCATGGTGGAAAATGGCATTGTTCTTGGCCATAAAGTCTCCCAAGCGGGCATCGAAGTTGATGGTGCGAAGGTTGATGTGATTGAGAAGCTTCCTCCTCCCACAAATGTGAGAGAAGTGAGGTCTTTCCTTGGTCATGCCGGCTTTTACCGCCGCTTCATCAAAGATTTCTCTTTGATTGCTAAGCCTCTCACATCTCTCTTGCAACAGGATATAGAATTTGTATTTGATGAAGCTTGTCATGAGTCATTTTGTAGGTTGAAAAAGGCTCTTTGCACCGCCCCCATAGTCCAAGGACCGGATTGGTCTCTACCGTTCGAGCTAATGTGTGATGCAAACGACGAGGCCATTGGATTGGTTTTAGGACAAAGAAGGGAGGGGAAACTTCACGTTATATACTATTTATCCAAGACTCTCAATGATGCTAAACGGAATTATACAACTACCGAAAAAGAGTTCTTGGCGGTTATTCACTCATTTGAGAAGTTTAGAACCTACCTCATTGGTTCTAGGACAATAGTGTATACCGATCACTCGGCTCTCAAATATTTGATAAGAAAGGAGGCCAAACCGAGGTTGTTGAGATGGGTCTTGGTTCTTTAAGACTTTGATTACGAAATGAGAGACAAGAAGGGAGCCGAGAACGTGGTGGCGGACCACCTTTCTAGGTTGGGAGGTGCAAGAATACATGAAGACGGTTTGCCAATTGAAGATGCCCTAATGGATGATGTCTTATATGCTCTTGAGGAAAAATCGGAGCCTTGGTATGCAGATATTGTGAACTACTTGGCTTGTAGTGCCATACCTCCGGATTTCACTCCTCAACAACATCGAAGGCTCAAGCATGAAGCAAAGAAGTATATATGGGATGACCCCATGTTGTTGAAGAGAGGGGTGGACGGACTTTTGAGAAGATGTGTTCCTAATGAAGAGTTCCAAGATGTGCTCTCAATGTGCCACTCATCCCTTTATGGTGGTCATATGAGTGCTCAAAAGACTGCTTCCAAGGTTTTGCAATGCATGCTCTTTTGGCCCTCCCTATTCAAAGATGCTTGGCAATTTGTTAAGACTTGTGATAGGTGCCAAAGGACGGGGAACATATCAAGGCGCGATGAGATGCCCCAAAATCCGATACTTGAGCTGGAAATTTTTTATGTTTGGGCAATTGACTTCATGGGCCCTTTCATCTCATCCCAAGGAAATCGGCACATTCTAGTTGTCGTTGATTATGTTTCCAAGTGGGCGGAAGCCGTGGCATCTCCCACCAACGACTGAAAGGTGGTCATCAACTTGCTTAAGAAGGTCATCTTCCCAAGATTTGGTGTTCCGAAGGCAATTATAAGTGACGGAGGTTCACACTTCAAGCACCATGCATTCAACAAGCTCCACTCAAAATATGGTGTTTCGCACAAGCGTGGTCTTGCTTACCACCCTCAAACAAGTGGTCAAGCGGAGATCACAAATAGGGAGTTAAAGATCATCTTGGAAAAGACCGTGGCTGGAACAAGGAAGGATTGGTCTAGTAAGCTCATTGATTCATTGTGGGCATATAGGACCGCCTTCAAGACTCCGATTAGGACAACCCCCTACAAACTTGTGTATGGGAAGAATTGCCATCTCCCAGTGGAAATGGAGCACAAGGCGCATTGGGCCATAAAGCAAATTAATTTTGACCTCCATGCCGCGGGTGAGCAAAGGATGCTAGATCTTCATGAGTTGGAAGAGCTTCGAATGAACGCCTATGATAGTGCAAGCCTCTACAAAGCAAGAACCAAGGCATGGCATGACGCTCAAATTTCCAAGAAGGAGTATGTGGAAGGACAAAAGGTCCTGCTTTACAATTCAAGACTCAAGCTTTATCCCGAAAAATTGAGGTCTAGATGGAGCGGGCCATTCCAAGTGTCCAAAGTCTTTCCATATGGCTCAATCGAGATATTCAATGACAAGTACCCTCCATTCAAAGTTAATGGGAACCGTCTTAAGCCATACTCAAAAGGTCAACTAATTGAGAAGCCGGAAAATTTGTCACTTGTTGACGTTTTCAAGTCACCGCGATTCTTTTGTGAAGGGCGTCAAGCTGCTGACGTTAAAGAAGCGCTTACGGGAGGCAACCCGGTTTCTAACTTTTTTTTAATTTCTTTTTATTTCCTTTGTCACACTTGAACTAATCCATCTAACACTTTTTTTAATCAATTGTGATGTAGGTGTGATTGTGTGTGTCCATGGGGAAAGAGAGATAAGAGTTGAAGCAAAATGAGAAATTTTGAGAATTTGTGGTCGGATGAAGACCAAAGACAGAGAGCCAGGGCGATTTGGTCGCGGTAGAAGAGCGATCCGCGAGAACAGAGTGGCGCGAGCGCGCGTCTATTTGTCGCGGGCGCTCCAGTTCTTGGGTCATAAATTGCTCCCATTCCAGAAAGTAGGAGCGATTTTGTCGCGCCTAAGGAGCGGTTAGCGTCATCAAAGGGGTGCGGACGCGCTTAATTTTGTCGCGGGCGCGCCAGCTGTTTGGTCTAAAAGGTCTCCCAATTCCAGAAAGTAGGAGCGATTTTGTCGCGCCTAATGAGCGACCCGTGATATCAAAGAGGCGCGGGCGCGCGTGATCTGGGCGCGGGCGCGTTAATACTTTGGTTTAAATTCCAGGGAGTTGGAGCGATTTCGTCGCGATTCTAGAGCGGTTCGCGTCTTCACTTAGGCGCGAGCGTGCTCGTATTTGTAGCGAGCGCGCCTGGTCTAGCGCGGGCGCTCCCTTCTGGGTTTCAAAAATAAATACGGCTAGGCTTCGTCTCTTAATTCCTCATAAACTCCCTGAACCCTCACAAACATAGCCTACCTCCCTATCACCTTTCTCTCTCTAACCCCGCGGTCGCTCCTCACCACCCATTCTCAAGATCCGTTCATCATCTCTTCTACCATCCTCATAAATCATTCATCATCATCATCAAAGCTTCAATCATTCATCATCATCACCGTTCGTTCATCACCAAAAAGCAAATAGGCATCATCAACACCAACCACAACGAACGTCTTTGCTACTCAAAATCTTCAACAATTCAACACCAAATCAGTAATTTATTCGCATAAAGGTAAAGGTATTCAAATTCCTTCGTTAGTTATTCTCTTTTGATTAATTTTGGTTATCTTAGGTTATTATCGAGATTTTGTTGATTATTGTTGAAAATATTGCTGGATTCTGTTGAAATTGTTGTTGGATATATTCGTTGTGTTTGTTGGATTATTATTGCTCGTAAACAGGTACATTGTGGTTTTGTGGAGGTTAAGGGTGGAAATAGCCAGAAGTTGGCTTTGAAAAAGGAGTGAAAAAGTGGGTAGTCATGAGTCTAAGGATTGGGAAAAAGAGAAAAACCGCAAAGTCGGGACAATCGTCCCAAAACCCAGAGTCGGACCAACCCAATACCTTACCCACCTTAAAGTTCTTAAACAAAAGCCACTCCTCCATATACTCTGACATGAAAAAAAGAAAGTTGCGACCTTCTAGGCACTACCATCGTGGAGACATGATAAAACTTGTAATAAATGACGACTTGTGGATTCTTTTTGACAACCTTCGATTAGGGTCATTCTTAAACTCTTCATTCATGATCTACCAAGAACCCACCTTAGAGTTTTTCTTGTCTTTCCAAGTTGATTCACTAGAAGATAATGACTTTCGGATATCTTTCCAACTCTTTAACAACCAACACACCATGTCACTAGCACAGTTTAACCAAGCCCTGGACTTTCACTCAGATGCAAACCTCCTCTACCCGCTTTATGAGAACTTTAGGGAGTATAGTGAGTATGCTTGGTGGCATTCCATTTCAGGTAAAAATGAGTTTCATACCAAGACTTCCATAGCCAGTGAGATTTGGCACCCTGCCCTTAGGATCCTACACCGTTTATTAGGGTATTCTACCATTAGTAAACAAGACCTAGGAAAACTAACTACGGAAGAGGTCCTTTGCCTGTGGATAGCCACAAAGGGAGAGCATGCACGGAGATTGAATTTGGGATTCCTCTTTATGCAAACTTGCCAAGCC